AAAAAAAAAAAAAAAAAAAAAAAAAAGAAATTAAAACTAGAAATTCCATTTGACTCAACTATCCTGCTTCTAGGTATCTTTCTGAAAGAGTTAACATTATATGATAGTGATACATCATACCCATGTTTATAACAGCACATTAATAACTAAATCTTGGAAGCATCATTTATCTGTATGTCCATCAATAGATGATAAAGAAAATGTGGTATTATACACAATGGAGAACTACTCTGACATAAAGAGACTTGAGTCATTCATTTGTAGGAAAATGAATGCACCTTGAGACCATAATATTAAGTGAAGTTAATCAGGCAGACAAGCTTAAATATCATATGGTTTCTCCTATTTGAGAAACTCAAAATATAAATATAGAGCAAAATGAAAGATTCTTAATAAGAAACAGGGAGATTGAAATTTTGCAAAAGGGAAAGAAACCAAGAGGTGGAGGGAGCAGGGAGGTGAATGAGAGAAAAAAGGTGGAGAAAAATGAATTAAGATGTACTATGTATATGTACCAAGTCCCCACAAAGAATGTAATTATTATATACTACAAACATCTTCTAATGAAAATATAAATAAATTTTAAAAAGAGTTAAATCAGGACTAAAATCTGAGATATCTAGGAAACTCAAATTTTTCCTTGTATTCTCTCACAACTTTGAGTTCTTTACATGATTTTTTGGTAGGGGAGATGGGTCATTTTGATGATAATATTAATTATTAATAAGTTCTTTATCTTTTAAATAAGACCTTATATATATGCATTCCGGTATATAACTTCAAAACTATTTTGGCATTTGTGTTGATAACCAAAATAGTTCCACATTATGGTGTTTACACCTTCTTTTCATGGTTGGCATGTCTTGCTAATTTGGGATGCCCTGTATTAAAATAACATGAGCTTTACTCAAGAGACAGGAGAATAGGAGGTTTTTGTTTAAAGGATATAGAGTTTCAGTTTTGTAAGAGGTAAAGTTCTGGAGATTCACTGAACAAAAACATGAATATATTTAACACTGCTGAATTGCATACTGTATTTTGAAATGACTAAGATGATAAATTTTGTTATGTATTTTTAACCATAGAAGTTGCTTTAAAATATTATTATGCAAACAATACCTGATAACTGTAGAAAAGTCAAAAAATACAGACAAGCAAAAAGGAAAGTAAATTCTTACCCATAATCCTATGAATCATACATATGCTTTCACATTGACTTTTTTTCTTTTTTTGAGACAAAGTCTCACTCTGAAGTTCAGGCTGGCCTTGAACTCACTATGTTGCCCACTGGTCTCAACTTGCAACAATCTTCTCATCTCAGCCTCCTGAGAGCTGGGATTAAAGGCGTGCACCACCACATTCCAGGATTTTTTTTTTTTTTTTTTTTTTTGAGCACACTGATTTTTTTCAAGCAAAGTTTATGCAAGTTTTAATCATGGTTTTACATTCTATAATTTTTCTTATGGTGCTTGAGATTGCACTAGTTTACTGGCCACTTAGGTTCATATGCTTATGTCCATTTGTTCGCTACTAACCAAATCAAAGGAAGCCATATATTTGGGGACAAGATGAAAGGATTAATAGGTTTCCAAAGCTAGCCCCTAGGAGATGGACAAGCCCATTTGCCTCAAATCCCCATCTCACCCTGCACGGGTATGGTGGGCTCTTTCATAACTAGAAACAGTGTGAGAGCGAACAAAGTGGAACAGACATCTTCAAGCTAGTTCCATCCCTTTCTGGACTCAGGGAATGAAAAACTAATGAAATTTGGCTTGACCTCCTGATGCTAGTATCTTCACATTCTTTCCATTCCTCTGGGCGGAGGAGAGATAGGGATAGCCATTTATTTATGCCCTAGGCTTGAGGAAGTTTGGAAGCCCCTTGACTCCAAAGGAAAAAAAAAATTAAGTTTTAAAGTTCCATTTTGCAGTGTTGGTTACACCAGGACCTTTATATTTACCTGTATCCCCAGCCGTTTTTTACCGTGAAGTCACCTAGCTGCTCAGGCTGGTCTTGAACTACCCAGGCAATCAATCCTCTTGCCTTAGCCCCCAGATGCTGAAGTTCCAGGTTGGCACCACCACACTTGACTAGGTTGTATGCTAATTAAAAATCCTGAAGAGTTGTTATTTCGCATTTCTATAAACTCCAAGATCTTTAAAAAGAAGTGAATCATTGCGTTCACCAATACATGTCCTTCAATGGATGCCGCGCATTTGTGGCGCATGTGTTCCTAAAAGACTGAAAGCAGATCACACTCCTATTGCCAGCCAGCTTGGCTACCATCTCTCAGCGGTTCCTTTTATATCCGGTCACATTGCAAAGAGTTTGGGCACTTTGGAAACCTGTAAGTCTAACCTCCCTGGAAATTCTCAGTCACATGTCTATCCACTGGGATGACGTAAGCATGCTTCCAGCCAAGGTTAACTATTAAATTGTTGGGATGAAAGGTCAGAAGATCTGCCCTTAATTGCAACATCAGATCATCAGGTGGGGAAAGAACACATTGCTACTTGCCAGCCACCTTCTCCAAGGAAAAGAGTAAAGAAGAAACAACATAGTCCTAGAGAAGTCTTCATGCCAGAAGTGCTCCAGGAGTCATGGTGGACAAATTCTGCAATTCTACTTTTTGGGTAAGAAATTATATTTATTCTCACTGTTTACTCTTCTCAAACAGGACAAGCGGTAGATTAATGAGAGCCACCAACAAGAACCTGAAAGGTTAGAGTGCAGTTGTTCTAAAGCTCAGGCGTTTTGAGAAAAGATAATTTATACTATCTCCAGAGAATATATCATCTGAGAAAGGTCACCGAATTTATTCTGTTACATATGCTGCTTGTGTCCTAGACTCGTTTCTTGGACTAGCTAATTGCACAACTGCCTTCTCTATAGAGAAATAGAGAAAAAAAAAAAGCCTTCCAATTTCCTCAGTGTTAAGAATGGGAACTATTGTTGGATACTTTGCGGCGTAAGAGAAAGAGTAGAGGGTCTATGATTGGACTGAGATATGTTGACCCTGAAATAATAACATATTTATTCAAGAGGAACTTGCAACTAATCATGGGGACTAGAAGCTGAGACCAGGGTGCTCGCTTCAGAAGCACATATACTAAAACTGGAACGATATAGAGAAGATTAGCATGGCCCCTTCGCAAGGATGGCATGCAAATTTGTGAAGCGTTCCATATTAAAAAAAAAAAAAAAGAAGTTGAGACCAGGGATGCAAATGTGAGCATTACAGCACTGAAATAGTTTTGAACCATGAGAATTGGGCAATACTGGTTTAGAGAGGGAGAAGAAGGAGGCTCATTGAAAGAGCGGTCAGGTATTTAAACAATGTACTAGAATAGTATAACATCGGGGAGCCAGGGGTAGCAGAGAATTTCAAAACAGGTCAATCAGTGATACCAAACAGCTTAGTGGAATAGAGAAAGAGACAGGGTCTTGGATTTAGTAATTTTGAGAGCAGCCATCTGCAAACCTCTATAGCATCAAGATCAGAATCAGAGTTACCTAGGGTGGTTAGCATAGTTGAAAGTCTAAAGTTGCATAACTTTACATAAAGGTGAGAGGAGGGAAGGAGATAGCCCTTCAGGTTAGGAAGAACCTGGGCCCCAGGGCCTTCAGAATGGGACAGAGATATCATTGGAAGGTGGGGCTGAATAAGCCCCACTATCTTAACAGGCCATCTCTTGAATATTCTCTCCATAATTATACAAGTCATCTTGTCAAGGAACCTCAACCTTTTTTTTTTTTAGAAGACTGTGTCTCAACAATCGACAAAAAAATTAAAAATATTTATAGGAAGGGAAAAATCTACCCTCACTTGACTCAGAACGAAAAACTGCACCCACCTCACAAGACATTTCCAGTTATTATTGCGGCAAAGACTGGTACAGCACTTCCTGGGAGTAACCGTTCTATCCAGCAATGCGGTTGGTGCTGTTGTGCCGAAAGCAGTCAGGCCCCCTCGGTTTTGATGTAAGCCTTCCAGGCCAGACTAGGATATAGTAAATAATAACAATAAATGTCATAGTACGACTAAGCTTTCTGCCTGTCTGCAACCCCTATGTTTGAACATCTGCCAATGAGTTCAATTAGTAGTAGAAACTAAATGAGAACAAGGGGCTGGGGATTTAGCTCAGCGGCAAAGCACCTGCCTGGCAAGCGCAAGGTCATGAGTTTGGTTCCCGGTACCGGAGAAAAACCAAAAAAAAAAAAAAAGAAAGAAACTAAATAAGAACAAGTTTTTATATCCAGGGAAATAGTCTCCCCTTTGGATTGAGGAACCATTCTTTTTCTTCCTTCAACGTGACAAATGTCACAGTGAATTTTACTTAGGAATGCTGCTGTAGATGTTCACTTGAAACCTCAGTTAGCAATAATCGCACCTCTGGTAAACCTCATGGTGCTACCACCGCACAAAGCTAAAATCTCAGGAATATAGGTTTTTAGAGGCTGGATTGGCCAGAAAAGTCACTAAACATCAGGAAATGGTTAATTTATATCAGTGAGGGTGCACAGGAAGATATTGATAGTTAAAAGACAAAACTGAAAGAGTGGGTGAAGGGTGGGTAGGGGAATGGGAAAAAAAAGAATCAAGTTATATCATGTACAGGTCCAAATTCCCTACGACAAAAGTGACTATTATGTGTACCTGAAATGCACCATTAAATTGAATTAATAAAAAAAATCAAAAGACATCCCACTCCCTAAAAAAGGCAAAAGTGGATATGGATATGGGATTGAATTTAAATTGTTTGGGAGCAAGTGGAAAGTTTTGGGGGATGGACTTGTAAAAGACATGTGTATCCAACAATTCATTTTTGTTTCCCCAGAATTCTTCATTCCTGGACAGACCAGATGCAGACCTGCCACTTTGTTTTGAACAAACTGTCCTGGTATGGATTCCTTTGTGCTTCCTTTGGCTCTTGGCCCCTTGGCAGCTTTTCCACGTATATAGATCCAGGACCAAGACATCTTCTATAACTAAGTTTTACATTGCTAAACAGGTAAGTAACCCCAATGTTTTCAAAGAAATTTCTTGGTGCACAAGACAGACATTTTCTTGATGATTAGTGTCTTTTTTGTCTTTAACCAGCTATACTTTGTGCTGCCGTGTCAGGTAAAGCCATGTTCTAGTCCTGACCTATGCCTCACTGGCCCCTTGCCATGGTCCTTGGTCAAAGTAGCTTTGATTTTTTTTTGCATAAGAATGGTGACTCTTAATTCTATGGATCCCTACCCCTTCCCAGTACAAGGACTCAAACCCAGGGCCTAATGCATGGTAGGCAAACTCTGTACCTCTGAGCTACATCTGTAACCGCTAATTCCTATGAATATAGGGCTCCCTAAACACAAATGATAGATAACTAATCAGTCAAATTATTCTAATCTTTTTGTATTTGAGAAGTGAACACCTAGATATGTGTCTTTAAACTGGTCTCATAAATCAAGAGACTAATTCAGAAAGTACCTATCACAAGGTGAAAATGAACTACATAATGTGGTTTCTTATTTTTGGTTCATTTTTTTTCCGGTACTGGGAATTGAACTCACAACCTTGCGCTTGCCAGTCAGGCGCTGTGCCACTGAGCTAAATCCCCAGCCCCATGAATTACATAATGTGTCTTTTTGACCATACAGGCAATCCAATCATCATTCATCTCCCAAAACTTGGACCTGAAATAGAGCTCCCATTTTCCCAGAGTATTCTATGAGTCAGGACGATTATATACAGTGGAGAGAGGAAGACCTAATGTGCATAGTATTCAGCCTGAGTAGAGAAATAATGGAAAGGACAGGGGATGTGGGAGAAAGCCCACAAGGAACAAGGGGAAGAGCTCTCTGACACCTGCACTAATTAGGAAGGGGATTTGTATGACTTAAGACCTTCCAAGGTTCTAGTTACCTCATAAAATCCACCTTTGGCTTCTTCCACTGAGTTTTTTTGTTTGTTTGCTTTTGTTTTTCCTATGTGTCCTAATCTTTAAGCTTGTCTTTAGAAATGCAAATTAGATTGTCTCATTCTATGAGAATACATATGTATATAGCCTCTAGTAACTGGGAACCAAAGGAGAGGAGGTGCGTAAGCACAGAAGGCGGAATTTGTGTGAATGCTCTGAGATAGTGCTGGTAGTAGGTTTCACCAGATCCTGGGGAGGGGAACAGTCTGTGAGGTAGAGTCGTTGTCTCCCAGGTTGGCCTGTGCGCCCAACACAGGACCTGGCATGTACTGAGACTCATGCTGAATTCAACATTTGTTGGATGTTGGTTGATAAATGAACCCTAGAAATAGGGGCTGAGATGAGTGTGTTAGACTCCAGACATTCTGAACATTGAATAGCACTCTTCATTTGGAAATGAGTCAGAGCTTAGTGTTATAGTTAGTCAAGGTTCTGCCCATTTTTCTGGAGCTTCCAAGAAGAGGTTAGGTAATGAACAAGCCAGTATCTTATCCTAGTAAAATTAATTAGTTAATTTTTAAAAACTATTTTATTAGGGCTGGGGATATAGTTCAGCAGTGCAAGCACCTGCCTGGCAAGCATAAGGTCCTGAGTTTGATTCCCAGTACCAAAAATAAAAACCACCCTATTTTATTGACATATGACTATATACTATGCACTTCTCCCATTTAAAATAATTTGGTTTTTAAAGTCTATTTACGGATATATACAACCATCACCATGGCCACTTTTAGAATATTTTCAGTCTGTCAAAAAGAAATCCTGGGCCGGGAATATAGCTCAGCGGCATAAGTGCCTGCCTGGCAAGCACAAAGTCATAAGTTTGATTCCCGATACCAAAAAAAAAAAAAAAAAGAAATCCTTTAGCTCTCAACTCCCTGCCATCCTTATCCTCAATAAGCAACCATTTTCTGTCCCTAGAGATTCCTTTTTCTAAACATTTCATCCGAGCGGAATCCTACACTATCTGGCTTTCTATTGTCACACCTGGAGTGAGGTAGACTATCCATCTAGGGTTTATAAACATGATACCAATAAAGAATTAAAGATACTAGTTTAGAGGGAGAAACAAAATCACTTTATTGGAAAGAGGAGAGGAATGAGGAGACACACAGCTACCTTGTGGGAGTAAGGTAGGAAGCCTGGAGCTGGGGCCTGAGAGCGTCTGTTCTTAGCCACTTTTACTACAGGGCAAGAAGGACTGGTTCCCCTTTGAGAGCTGTTATAACTTGATTGGCTATTGTAGGCTCCGGGACCCCTGACTTGGCTACTGAAACTCTCTGTTGCCTGTCTGCAAATTCGTGAGTAAGCTCCTTTTTTTTCCCAGGTGCTATCTCTGAAATTTATAGCAGAGTCTTACATTCAAGGCCTTGAGTTAACAATTAGTAAAGGGATACATGTACATTTTAGTGCAGGAACATGGTGACAGAATAATAATATATATATGTGTATGTGTTTATATATATACGTGCGGGTGTGCAGGTGTGAGTATGTATTTTAGATACTGAGTTTTCTGTAATAGAGCCCCTTCCCCATTTGGCCGGAGGTGGAGAGGAGCAGTCGGGGCCCTGGCTGGGAAGTGAGCCAGGCTGCTTATCAGCTCTCCCTGCTTCTCTTGCTCGCTCCAGCGGAGTTTAACTCTTTATTTGCCAGAAACCTCACTAAGACCCTTACGTTTCCCTGCCTGACCCCAACTTTCCCTACAATATGATTGACTTCTTACAGCATCTTAGGGTTCACCCTTCTTGTAGGATGTTTCAACACTCCATTTTTTTTTAAAGTTTAGTCTTTTATTAGGGCATGGTAATTTTATAAAACATTTGCTTTCGCTGTGGCCTTTTCTTTTATGTATAAACATGTTTTGATCGTCTTTATCTCCATACTTCATTTTTTTTTATGGCTGGACATTGTTCTACTACACAGCTATAGCAGCTACTGTTAAAGTAAAAGCACGGGTCTCTATAGAGAAAAAGAAAAGCAATGTATTCACCTCATTTTTTTTTTCTGTAGTTGATATACCCCAACTCACAACTTCCGTAAACTCATTTATAACTTATATTTTAATTTTTTTGCTCTCCACTCTGAGGGTGACAGGCATAGTTTAGCTTCTTAAAAATTTCAAAATGAGCCTGGTATGGTGGCACACGCCTGTAATCCCAGCACTTGGGAGGCTGAGGCAGGAGGACTGTTGTGAGTTTGAGACCAGCCTGGGCCACAAAGTAAACTCAATGCCAACCTGAACTGAGTAGGAGACCCTGTCTCAGAAAGAAAAAAAAAAATTTCAAAATGATTCATTTCTCCTCTGAATAATGAGAGCGTAATTCCTCATAAAGTAAAACTTCTCAGTCATAGGAGTCTTCTTCATCTCGGTTCCCAGCTTCATTTTACTCCTCAGCTCCCCCTGCTGCCTGCCTTTGGACTTTTCCTTTTGACTCCTAAGTCGGCATCGTCTCCTCCTTAGTGTGGTGTTTATCTCATCTAGACTTACTCAACTTGCTTGACCTACCTGTAATGACTCCCCAGGTGGGCTTGCTTAAAATTACCCTTAGTGAAGGACCCCACCACCACCACCACAAAAAGTAAATGAATGAGTTGAACTCAAAAGTGAATAATGTTGGTTGTGAAAGTGCTGATGTCAAAAATGGACTTGATGTCGAGCCAGAGAGACCTTGGAACCATATTTAAATATTTGCAGAAAAACAACATAAAGGATTGTCCAATTTGTTTGGAAAAGTTTCAGGAAGTGAGACTAAGATGAGTGAGTGGAAGTTGATCCAAGGAAGGCAATTTTGACCAAATATATAGAAGAAATTTCTAATAAAAAAATCACTGTCTGATATTAGATGGGCTGCTGGGAGATACAGTCCCTGAAAATATTAAAGCTGAAGTTAAACATTTGTTGGCTAAGAAAATAGTGCAAAAGAGACCCTTTACAATGGGTAGAGATTCTACTAGAGTGACTTGTCATTCATAAAGCACTGGGAAAAGGGGGACCTTGCAGAGATGAAGAGGTATTAAATATGGCCCAGCGATTATCTCTTCTTTTTAAAAGTAAAAATGATTTGTATTTCCTTAGAAAGTTGTGTTTATGCAGAGTGTGGTGGCACTTGCCTGTAGTCCCAGCATTCAGGAGGCTGAGTCAGGAGGATCACCCACCATGAGTTCAAGGCCAACCTAGTGTGTTTAAAACCAACTTGAGCTACATGGTGAAAACTTGTCTCAAAAAAAGAAAAAGTTGTGTTTGGTAAACTCCTTGTCTGATTGAAACTTTTTCAATAAGTTGGAGATCAAGGACAAAGAGAATTAAGGACTTGGTAAATTTGTAAACAACCAGTGTTTCCCTACTCCTAATGATTGAGAGTGTGTGCATGTTTCTAATGAAAAGATACTGTGTGCTCGCTGTAGAACGTTTGGGAGTTCCAGGGAAATGAGTAGAAAATTAAATCCGTCAATAATTGTATCATTCTGATATATTCTTATTAACATTTTTGTATATTTCTTTCTACCCTCTTAAAAAAAAACTAGACAACAACAAAGTACAAATCAAAAGCAAATATCTCTTTCTCATCTCACTATTTGCCAGTTCCATTTCTGCAGGCTTTTATCTTGTTTTGATGATTCCCTCAATACCTGCAAATATTGTATAGTTACCTATCTTTTTCATCTATCAAGTTTGAAAAGATCTATTCTGCTGTATGAAAAGTAAGGAATTTAGTTTATTGATAAGAAATTCAACTTCCTTTTCCCTTCTTTTTTGAATAATTTTTTCAGTTGTTTTGTTACCTTTATACCTAAAAGTACTGAGTCATTTACTTTAAATTCTATATTTTGATGTTCCTTTGGGTAACAAGAAATAATTAGTATCCTCAAATTTCTTGTATACCTTCTATAACAGAACATCTTTTAAACAAACTCTCCAGAAAGAGTTACCATAAAGTTCCTAACTATGCTTTCTAAACATATTCACCTGAATCAAACAAATTTCTTTTCTTAGCTCTGAGGATGCTGCTACACTGTTCCCCAGCATTCCATGCTACATTCAGAAT